AGCGAGAGAACCCCCCCAGGCTTCTTCAGACGTCTTAAATGTGGTTTCTTCGGATGATGAAAAAGAAGGAACAATTAAGAAAGAATTCCATTATGTAGAGTCTGTGCCTACCCTTCTACTTAAAAATTTGTACTTTGAAAGGTTGATAAATGGCAACATTGAAAGCTTGGCTCCTTTCGGCATCAATCGTCCCGCAATCTTTCATTTGGATTCATTGGTGGAAACTTCGGGGCCTCCCGAAAATCTCAAAGAATACTTGGTTGAATATTTCAAACAGGTCAGCAAACATTCTTCTAAACTCGTCGCATTTCGCTCTTGTAGGAATTCGCTTCTCGCTGTCCGGAGGCTCACGCTGAAGGTCTGCGTATTGCTGATGCTGACGAATGGATTTACGTTCCAAGAGCTGCTGTTCCGTTGCAAGAAAACGGATTCGATTGTGGAATCTTTTTAGTCGAATATATTCGTCATCTGTTTATCGCTGATGAGAGGCTCAAGAGTCTTCTGTACGATGCCCCTGTCTTCGACTTGCCATCGAATTCTGAGGAAGTCCCCCAAGCAACACCAGGTCTGTCGTTAGCAACTCTCTCTGAGTTTCGTGCCTGTTCTACAGATTCGTCAACCGCACGTGCAGATAGATGCGTTCGGCGTCGTCGCGCGAAAGCGAATGCCACCACCGGAACGATGAGGACTACTGAGGATTGGGTTGAGTCGCACTGGTTCAGCCAACAACATATTACTCATCGGCGCCGGTGTTTGGAACAAATGTTGATCTACATGCAGCATCACCCAAAATGGAACCAAGGGCGTGTCAACGAGATTCCGGACGACAAATGTGACAGAATCTTGATTGAGAGGCTGGAAGGCGAATTAGATACAAAATGGATGGAAACAGAAATGGACTACCTACGAGGACTTTTCCATTGTAGCAGCTTCCCTAAGGGGTTCAAACGATTGTCCCGTAAAGGATTAGATCCCACCGGCATCACCGTTCAACAAGAGGATGAAGGGTCGCCTGCTTCAATCCAAGAAGAAGCTCTTTTTGAAAGCGATCGTCATTTGACGTCTGAAATGCGCTTAGAGACGTCCCCGGTAGAAACGCAAGCCCCAGCTGTAGAACCGCACAAGTATGAGGAGAGCGCCGAGGATGAAGAGCATTCGATGGATTACAGCAGCAGGAAAGAACCTTCAATTCTCGACCGCCTAGGCCCGGGAAAACAACGGGAGTGTCGAACTTATTGGGATCGACGGACTCCTGACGATGATCGCAAACGTGGTCGGACATTTCCAGATGAAGATGATCGACACGAAACCCCCGACCGACGTAGCATTCTCGACCGCTTGGGAAGTCGATGTGAAGAACGCCGTTACCATGCGAGAAGTCGTGACGTCATGCCGGAGCGACGGACACGGAGCCCTATCTGGAACGACAGACGGCACGGAATTGTCGGTGATAGAGAAAGAGGGAATTCGAGCCGGAAGGAAATGGATTTGGAACGACGGAGCTCACGTCAAAATTCAGATTTCGATCGGGAAAGGTCTCACAAGTATGAGTCAAGAGATCGGTATCACTACGGGAGTGACATCGATATGCGAAGTGATTCGAAGAATTATCGGAATGTTGAAAAATCAAGAAGACGAAAGCGTGATGAGCTTCAAAGATCGCATAGGGAGTGAAGCAAGAGTCCCTTTCGTGTGGGGTGTCCCATTCGGATTGACGGGATGTGTATCTGGCACAGGTGGTCTGTGAGAACAGCGGTAGCACATCCCATCGGTGGGGATAGGATTTCCCATCGTTGGGGTAGAATGTCTCGTTCGTGTGGATTGCGGTGTCGAGATGAAAGGCCAAGTTCGTCTATTTACGGAGCGCTTTTTCAGACTGATGGAGCGTTTCAAAGATCAACAGTAATGAGTGCTTCAAGGGGGTCAGATTCCAAAACAAGCTGAGTCATGCCTCTAGCAACTTGGGACATTCAGTGCAGTTGTTGGGTTTCTCATACCCCTCATGTCCTGCTTTTTGAGGTTGTTGGCCCCTCAACTGAGCTGTTCTCGTGCGTTAATCGTTGTCTTCCACCATGATGAGGACAGTACATTTCTCCGACACCGAGAAACGGGATTTTGATCAACAAGCTCGTTTCTGCGAGCACTCAGCATCATGCCCATCGAACAACGAGGGAACGACAAACGAATCCCCTTGAGTTTCGACAGAGTTTTTCAACTTCAACCAAGCAGAACTGTCAATATTATCGTACAGCAGTTGATTTTATCGTACTCAGTTCTCACACATGAACTCGCTGATTCTCCAATAACCATGTCGTTTGAAGGATTCACTGGCAGTGAAATTTTTTCCTGAAAGAAACAACCGACAAACTACTTCTGGGGTGTGCGAAGGGTCGTGGGGTGTTGTTTGCGAGGGGTTGCCTTGCGAGGGCATGGGTCACGTGGTGGCTGTTTCTCGTAAGAACTCCATCAGTGACTGTGCAATTCTCATGGGAAGGCTTTAATGCACACACAGGCTGCATCATCAAGTAAAGGTCGAACTTTCTGAAATATAGACCCCTGTGAGAGTAAACTAATGTTGATTCTGAGCTGCAAGAATGGATGCCGTCGAAGCTTGTGATCTTTTTGGACATGATCTTGTGTTTTGACGACTAATTGGTGCTGCTCCCTAGACCGTGTTGTTGTGTTCACAGATAACGTGTTTTGGTGTGGACTAATTTTGTTCTTCCTGATTAGCGTCATCCATACATGGCACATGTGAGAGATTTGTTAGGTAGCTTCTTCCCTCACTCATGTTCCACATAGCAGGCGATTCAGACAACTGAAGTATTGCAAACGACCCCTTGATCCGTTCGAAGTTCGTTCAATTCGGCTAGTTCCGATGAATTTATCGCACTTCTCACCAAAACTACCTCGTAGGTGGGCACGAATGGAAAAGACAGCAGTTTGAAACCGAAAATTCTGCGTGTTCCAAGAATTTGGGCAATTCTTCGGACGGTGAACGGTGAGCTCTACAAGAAGTCGAATCCCAGGCAGAGCTTCTCCCCGCTCGACCCTGAGCTTCAATGTTGCTGAGGGTTCATCTCCCCAGATCGATCCAACGAAATTGATTAAGGCTCAGCCTTTATTCCTCGTTGCTGCTGGAAATCGGATTGATTAAATAATGTGTGGTTCTGCTGTGGCTCGCGTGGTGACAGACAACGGCTCCCAGTTACTGTTGTTGCTCGTCATTCATTGAAGTAAGTGGTGTCTCACTTGATCCCTTCGATGGTGTTGAGGATCCTCCTGTAGTTGTCTGACTCGTTCCACCTAAATTTTGAGGAGTCTCCAACTCGTGAACGCCGTTCCCTCTTGGTTCGGTTGGCGGTTTCGTTGACGCTGTACTCGATTTTGAAGTTCCTCCAGCCACCAAACGGCGAGGAGACTGAAGACGTCCACGGTGTTCGAGATCAGGGGGCCAATTCGATGAGTGTTGGCGTTGAAACTCGCTCGTCATTGAAGAACCACTCGACTTTCGCAATCCCTTAACATGTTCAGATTCGCAGTCTGTGTGTTTCGAACCACGACTTGCAATCTTTCGACTTCTTCGATCACTCGAATCCCGTTCATCATCACCCTCTGGAGAGACTGGAGCGTCTGAAGGCTCTTCATGAGCAGACGGTCCTCCTCCCTTGGTTCCTCTGGTCTTTCTTGGTTTCAATGAAAGATCTTGCGGCACCGAAGAAGGAACAGCAGGTTGCAACGTGGGCGAGTGCCGTCCGGTTCTATAAAGCGAAAAAGCGAGTGGAGAGAGCGCATCACAGAAAACCTACTTTGTGGCGTTGATTGGACTTTTTCCCAGTGAGGAAATGGACGCTGATAAATTACCCGATGGAATGGATCTATGGACTGGTTCGTCAATGTCGGAGTTATCTGAACTGTCGGCAAATCCGTCAATCTGATCAAGCAAAGCAGACTCAGCAACACTAGGGTCGAGTGGACAGTTGACAAGTTGGACAACTTGTGATACGGAACGTAGAAGTTCAACGTTGGAGTAGACGTGTCGCTTAATCTCCTTCCATTCGTTTGTATAACGAGATAAGCGAAGATCCCAGGGACAAAGGGATTTGACCCAATTATACTTGGAAGAAATATAACCAGTTTTGGGATCCCTCCTAGTGTACCATACGATTTGACAATTATGGATTTTATCGTGACTTCGATATTCGGTGGATCGAACCCTTTCAATTAAAGCTCTAAAAGATTTTATCACGCCTAAAAATAGAACACTCGAGAGGATGACAATTTGAAAGTTCAACATACCTCCGTGACAAACTACAATAACTCTCAAGCCGGAACAGTTCTCCCCGAAATTTTCCAAAACCCGGTCAACTCGAAGGCAAAGGTTCGCGATAGACTCTCCTCCAGACGGTTGCCAATAGAACGCGTCCCGTTCCTTCCGAACAAATTCTTCCTTATGCTCTTTGACGCGCTCGTGGTGAGGTTTGTTTGCTAGAATTCCTCTGTCCCGCTCTCTTAAATAAACTTCTGTTGCCCTGAAAAATACAAAAACTCAGTAACGTGTGGGGTCACTTGCAGTACGGACCAACGAGCATGAGGAAGTTCCAACGCTGCTGCAGTTTCCATCGCTCGAACATATTCCGATGTGAAATATTTATCAAAGAGTGGTGATATATTTTGACGAATGTATTCACCCGCTATTCGAGCTTGCATCCTTCCCATATCAGTCAATCTGTATAAACTATTGTGGCGATCACGAAATTCGCTCGTCCAGAGATCTAATTCACCCTGACGCGCCAGTTTTTGAGCCAAATTTCCTGATCAAGAATAAAATGTGACTATGAGAAAGGAACCCGCAAGTCTGACCTTCAGATTGGCCATGGCGCACCAGCACCAAGTCGACTGGCATGTTTCGATGCATAATTAGCCGGTCAACAATCGCTGATAAAATTCCTAACGTCGCAATTTTGCTGGCAGTGAATGCAATTCGACTGTCTTAATTAGAGAGAACCCTCAGATTGAAACGACTGGAAGAGGGGTTTGTTCGCGCAATCTTATACTACTTCCGTTATTGTACTTTCCGGAGGTGCCCTCTTCTTGACGTGGTGCAGGCGTTGCCTGCTCAGATCTGCTTCCTAAAGTCCCATGAACATCCCGTTTGTTGTTCTTTCTTGAAGAAATATTAGAAGCGAATGGAAGATCTTCTACATAACAAATATATTGTGGCGCCTGTGGATATAATGAAGGGCATTGTGGCGCTGTGGTTGTAATGGAAGTGCACTAATTGTTCTCGTGATGGGTCTGGTGAGAAATCACATTATGACTCTTGTGGATGATACGAGTTATTCCGTGGTTTGGTTTATTTCCAACACATCACTTTTACCATCCGCATCTGTCGTTCTCTTCCTTTTTCGCTCCGCCTTCAGCCTTGGACTCATCGAGCTCCCATTCTTGTTCATTCCTATTTCGTTCTTTCCTCAGTTTGCTTAATTTCGTTCCTTCCAAGTTCCCATTCCCATGCTTCTTTGTTCTCTTGTTGATTTGATATCTCAGTTAGGATCAAAGCAGTCCAGTGTTACAAGCGCGTCAGACTTCAATGTGTCATCATTTGACTGTTTTTCTCACCCTGTTGATTCTAGAACCACGACGCTGCACTCGCACAAACACGCCAACGTCCCAAATGATCGTCCCGCGCTTTCCTAGTGCGTGCATGCAAAAAAACAGTTTCAGTTGAAATGATTACATCGGTCCTCCGATTCGACCAATGTGTTAAAATTTCTCATCAAATTTGCCAACCTTCTTATCAACCACAATTAGAAGCGTCATTAAAAGCAGTCTTATGTGGATCTCTTCTAGGTAGCACCAAAAGAAAACTTTACCTTCATGTGTTTATTTTACAGGAAAGTCCCTTCAAAACAGTCTTCAAGGTGAATAGATCACACAGATTCGACCATCAATTTCATCTTAGGAAATGAAAAGTTTGTCAAGTCTGACGCAAGCCCGGTGACGGTCGCAGACTTGGCAGTTCAAGCTGTGATTGTCGAGGTTTTGAATTTGCACTGTTCTGATCAGAACGTCAAAGTTGTCGCTGAAGAAGATTTCGGTACCCTTTAGTCGTTCGCAAGTCTGGCCCAGTCGTTTTCATTCAGAGTCCGTCCCTGAGAGTGTTGTTGCCCAGGTTGCTGACAAACTTAATCAGTATTGTCCACTCCGTTCAATTAAGCTGTTGGTTGGACATCATGCCGATTCCACAGATGAAGAGTCTTGGACGTCTGAACGCGTTTTACGTTTGTTTAGATTGACGTCTTTACGGACGGAACAAGAAATTCAGGAATTTGTTAAAACAGCTTCAACTCACTCTTGTGAAAGCAAGTCTCCTCTCCATTGGTCCCAGTCGTCGTACTTCGTGGTTGATCCCATAGACGGCACCAAAGGATTTCTAAGAAATGAGCAGTTTGCCGTTGGATTGTGCCTGGTTAACGCAATTTCTCCCCGGGTCCATTGAATTAGGTGTCATTGGTTGTCCCAATTTGCCGGGCATTCTGGAACCAGTTCGGCGTACGTGTCAAGCAGAGTTGGAAATAGCAACTCGCTCCAATAGATTATCAATGGTTCTATTACCTTCATAGTGTGTGACGAATCCGTCGCGGCTAGCATCAAAACAGACTCTACAAGCCACGGACATCTTGTTTTCGCCGTTAAGGGGGCTGGTAGTCGAGTAGGCCATACAGTCGCGTAACAATAACCACTCTCTATTCAGTCAGTAGCCATCGATCAGCTACTTCAACCGAATATGGATCCTGTGCTCAAGGTTCTTCGAGTTAAATCTGAACCCGAGGTAGAGTTCTCATTCAAGAGTTTTGCTGATTCCTTATTGTTAGGCTGTTGATCGCGTGGTCTGCTTAGAATCTGTAGAAGCGAAGCATACTGATTTTGCGCTGTCCTCTGGTGCGCTCCATGAAATGGGAATTCGACTCGATGAGCGTCACATTCTTAGATTAGACAGCATGGCAAAATTTGTCGTGGTAGGTACTGCAGTTTTTTTCCAGTCTTGATGTTTGTCATCAGATTTCACGGGGTAGGAGTGATTGAGTATCCCAACACGTATTCGAATATCTTGCAGGGGATGGCCACATTATCTTTCGATTTCCAACTGGAGGTTAGAAACCCGACATGTCTGCCTCACTTCATTCCCGGTTTTAGGTTATAAGGAAAAGGTTTGGGACATACTTCCTGGCAAAATTATCGTTGGTTAGTGATTCTACGGTTGATTGTCGATATTTTCTATTTTTAAGAGGAAGCAGGTGGAATTATAACTCACAGTGATGGATCTCAAGTTGAAGGACTTTACAAAATGACATTGGAGAACACCACCTGGTACGCAGTTGGTATAGACTTGTTGATAATTGGTATGCCTACTAGGGCTTGTGACAACTGGACATGGAGCTCAAGCGTTCCATGATCGTGTAATTAAAGCTGTCAACACGGCTAGTTCTAAACTTCAGGCCAAGTGCTGAAATTCATGCATTAGGTGTCGATCTTAGGGTGAAGTGGGTCTCGATTTTACGCATTGATGAATCAAACATAACAATCGATCAGCGCGTGTAACTCATTCGAGAGTCAAAATTCATTCTACCGCTCATTTTTGTACTCATCGTCATTCACGTCTCAAAACTGGTCAACACCTCCAGGAATAGTTTTCTCAATTTTGATACTCCACAGAAAAAGTGATAAGCGCGAAGCAATTGAATAATTAAAGACAAAATTCGTCAAGACGGCTTCGGGGTTCGGGCACGTCGCCTCCTTACTCCCTCTTCTGCTGGTGGTGACTGTTGTGCTGCGGCTTGGGTTTCCTTGGCTCGCTGGCTACGGGTTACGGGTGCCTGCGCTGGTGCCTCTGAGAAGAAAAGTGACGGAGTGAAGGTCAACTTGTTCAGCAACGCCGAGATCGGGTGCAACTGAAGTTCGAACGCGCCCAAAGCGAGGGAGAATCCCACAATATTTCCGGTTCCCAATAGAAGGAGAATTCGATAGTCGTTGAAATAACCAGACGCAACGGCTGAAAATCCAAGATGAAGGCTTGCTCTCACTCCAGCAGATGAATGGCTCAAGAATATCAGAGATCCTGTTATAAATCTCTTAATTTGAGCCAGGCCAGTTAAGGGGACGCCTTCATTGGATTTGATTGAATTCACGAGTGTGAGTGTGGTGAAGCATTGAATGAAAGAGAAGAAACATTCGGAGAGCAGAAAACTTGAAATGAAGGTCGATTTAAGGGATGTGCTCGCAAGGAAAGGACTTTCGTCGTACTTTGGGAGGCTCGGCTTTAACAAGACATGCTGTTCTTCGATGTAACCCTGATACAGTTGTGAAGACATGATCACTCCAATAGTAATTGCTCCCAACATCGTTGACACAATATGCATCAAAGTCGACCCTACGAAGACAGGTAACTTGAACTACGGAGCTCACTCCTTACTCTTGTTGCGTCTTGTTTTTCCCAGAACGTACATCGCCGCTGTGACGTCTGGAAATGTTTCATATCCCCAATCCAAAAAATTAGCCCACGTTGTTTGGCATGCAAATGAAATGATGATGTGTCTCACATAGAAAGGAAGGGAAGAAAAACTGCTCCATGCGGAGGTAACGAGCCATTCCTGAGAGACACCATTCCATTCATTTCTCATTTATACTCTCTCCAAAGTACCAGAGCTCCACTTGAAAGTACATAATAGGCATAGTAGAACAAGGATTCAAAAAAACGATCCACAGTATTCTTGAAACGGAAAATGTCCTCCAGCCGATGTTGTTGAACGCTTTGCCTTAGGTGGCATTTTAATTGTCTACCTTTTTCGTCTGGCTGTGACTAGAGTGATGAACACACCCACAAGGACTGCTGTTCTTCTGGACTCTTGGGACATGACTACATACCCCACAACTACACTCGCGAGAAGTGCTTTTTCGTGGGATGCCATTGTGATGATTGTGGGAGCAATGATGCGAGGGAAAATCCAGTCAAGGCTATTAAATTCATAATTCTCAAAAAGGGCTTGACTGGTACAGCAGATTTTGTCTTTTTAAAGGTCCTTCGCAGATGGGGGGTACAACATCGACACCCGATTCGCCGCTTCCCATTTGGGGAATTGCGTTGATTGCTCTTGGTTGTATTTTTTTATTAGTCCTTGTACTTGTCCTCGTTTATCTTCTTTGCTTTCGAAAAAAGAATCATCACGAAGTTGCCCTAGCTGAAGAACTTGAGGAGCATGAAAGAAGGCGCGCGGAGGAAGCTCTTAACACCTTGCGTAACTTACGGCTCGCCCGCGAATCCCGTAAGGCCTATTTTCCCCGCCAATGGATGTTTGTTCTTGTGCAGAGCGTCCCGGGCATCTCTGTCCGCACCATCATTCTCCATCCGCAGCGTATCCCGTTCCGTGCCCCGCCTGTTTTCCAAGCGGTGAGATGTTGATGCTACCCTTCGGAGTACTCTCCTGGTTTTTAGGTCCAATTGTTCACATGGATAACGTTCGGGCTCAACCAGTTTTTGGGACTGTCGGTTCTCGTCAACCAGTTGGTCCAGTTTTTGGAACTGTCGGTTCTCGTCAGCTTGGTCCAATTCCGTGTGATCGACGAACCTACGTCGAACTACCTCCGCCCTCAAGATATCGGGCGGTTGTGTCAAGGCAACAACCCGCGTACGTGCCGGAACGCCGATACGTAGCTTCGCAACTCGTACAACCGGAGCCCCCACAACCAAGAATACGAATGGCAACGGGGTCTGCTGAGATGCCAGTGTCAGCACCCCCCAGTGCACCTCCTGGCTTCGTCACCGTTCCGATGATTCTTGAACATCGGAATTGAATTTTTTCCGAAACTTTTTCGAACTAATCAGTTTTAGTTATTCGTGCTAACTGGTGTCTTTTT